GCCCCCCCCCTGGAATAATGTTATTTCTACATAAATTGGTAAAATTCAAAATGTCCGCGGATATTAAAATTTATATTTAATGAAAAAGAATAATGTATAATAATATTTTTTTAATGTTTTAATTGTAATAATAATACCTACCTAATTGTAATGTTTTAATTCATAATTTTAATAATGATAAAATATAATAATTTACTATAAATAAAATGTATAAAAAAATTTTCATTTATTTTTTAAATTAATTTTGCCCCCCTTAGAAAAATGTCTGGGGACGCCCATGATTGTTATCTGTTATTTTTGTTGTGTGATACTGTGATGAATTAAAAAAAATATGCAATTTTGTTATTACGAATTTACCAAGATTTACAATCGAATTTAAATTTGTCAATTCACATAAGTATATTACATTTGGTGCCCCCCCCCCTTGTGAGATTTCTGGCTACGCCATTGATGTATAATGCATATTTTACAACATGGTAAGGAATCGTAAACTTTTTTTTTTAGTGGAAAGTGATGAGAACCCCTTAGAAAACAGATTTTTTTTTTTTTTGTATACCTACACGAAAATGATGACACCTTCTCAGTGAACATATATGTAGTAGATAAAAAAACGATCATAGAATACGTTTTTCGCGGGACGTTTTCATGAGAGTATTTGTTGAAAATAAGTAATAAAATAAACTTATGCAAGTGTGGACTCTAGTTTTTCAAATAAGCCTCTGTCCGTCTACGGTAAAAATCCATTGTATTTTCTTGTTATTTTGTAGTTTGAATTGAACAATGATCCTTTAGACTCGATATGACACGAGACGTGTAAGCGATGAGTGTGTTCGACTGACGATCCTTGGTTCGATCGAAATTCGAAAGGTTAATAATCGTCGGAGCGTTTTCACTACTCTTATACGAGTATATATATATATATTAGATTACAAGCCGTTTAACAGTACATAATTCAATTGTATCATCGTGACGGTGACATTTCACACAGGACGTTCGGTTGCATGTCGGACAGTTATTAGCAAGTAAACAGAAAAATGTTTAGACTGCGACCCGTGCCCTTTTCAAACGTCAGTTTTCGTCAACGTCCACGGCCGTTAACATTATTAGCACACGAAACCCTCGTCGTCCCTCTTCTACTGTCCAATCACCATCTAATGTCATTACGATAAATTGACAATTGTTCACGTGTTACCATAACACCGCACATTGTTCATTGAGTTACGTATTAAACGTTATAATGATTGCGAATGACGAATGCGGTTTGTACGCATTTCTAATTTCCGTCACATGTGCTATGCGTGTATATGTACAATGAACACAGGGCAGTGTATACTTTATGAAATTTTCACTGGGCGTCAGAAAAAAAAAATTCCACGCATTTAATCAAAATGAATAAAATTAATAACAAAAAACTATTATATGAACCTATAAGAATAAAAAAAATGTCAGTGTTTAATATTCAAACCTTAGAAACTCTAATAGTACGATGCAAACTTGTATTTTACCTATATATAATCAGTGTTCGGAACGTTCAGTTAAAAATTGTACTCATTTACGTTCATGTTAATTTTTTTAAAGCGTACACGATCACCTTTAAGTTTTTCAAGGAACTTTCGAAACAAAGTATTAAAAAACTATGTGGACCTGTATATGATGATGTAGCCAAATGCTGGCGTAGAAAGAAAAATTAGAGAGATAAGGGAAAGTACAAAAATACCCATGAGAACAAGTTATATAAAAGGACAAAGAGTAAAATGGTTCGGTCATGTTAAACGGAAAGAAGCAATACAAGCAAAGCTAGACCAACCATGGATTGTCAATCAGAAAGGAACAAACCAAGGGAGGCCTAAATGCTGGAGACATAGGCGGACCCAAAGTTTTACATATGAGTGTGATCTGTCATTTTTTGAAATTATTTTTTTTTAAATACAAAGGGGAGGCTATAAACAAATTCAAATTGTTATTGAACATAAAGTTATCGATAATTATATAATTTTACCTAGTGTCTGTGAGTTGCATGATTAACATTACGTCGAATGAAATAAAAAATACCAAAAGTATTATTTTGTTAAACATTAGCACTGGGTCTGTTTCCAAGAAAAGACAATATTTTAGCTAAAAAAAGTTACCTACCACCACTATTAAACCACTATTAGAACGATATTATCATGTAGACGACAATAACATTGAATATAATAATAAACAAGTACGTGTAGACCTTGTAATGATATAATTTTAAAAATAAAGGCTTCGCTAATAATGTAAAATAACGATTGGTAAAAAATACTCGTAATTGTTATTTCAGATTTATTCTGAACACTTGCAGTATTACTTACAAAAAATTAAAATTTAATTAATGTATACTAGTATACCCATTGCGAAAATTTGCAATAGATCAATAAATAAACACATTTTAACAAAACAATAAATGAGTATAATATCGAAAATTGAAAGACATATCGAAATGACAGAGAGTGTTTATTAAAATATATGTTCCGCAGCATTAGAATATAGGTACCTACTATGTATGAGATGGTGTAATTATTACATAAAATCATTTTACATGCTTCCTTTCAGACAATATTAGCTAATATAAGTAATAATATTAGTATTGTTTATGAGTTTTTTATTGTTATATCACAGGGTAAGAGCTAATGAGAATGCAGTATTTGGAAAAAATTGAAAGTAAAGTTGATTGTACACACATAACTTTCCTCAAACTCAACGAATTTAAGCAGTTAATAGCTCAAAAGAAAGAGCATGCTCCACTGTTGATGGCCAATCGCGTTGGTGGAAGTTGAGTAAATTTCAATGATTGAAATACTTTATATTTAAAAAAAAAAAAAATCGGAAATCGGCTAGATAGAACGGCCAGATGGACTTTAGTTTTCATAATTTTTTTTCAATA